TAGGAAGCTTAAAATGCAGTAGTTTATTACATGCCATCTTCCATATTGTCTTCTTCGTGATCTGATTTGGTTTCCATTTTCCCATCTTCTGAACTATCGTCCATTGAATGTTCTCCGGTCTCCTCTTCATCTCTTATCGTGTCTGGATCTGTATCCATACTTTTATTTTCACTCTCTTCCTCTTCTTCTTCAAATTCCTCATCCCCATCCTGTCTTCCTAGCTTCTCATACCCATCTTCTCCTTCCTTCTCATGCTCCTTTTCGCTTTCGCCATCCCTTGGCATACTCTCTCTCTCCTCTGAGTCAGAGTACCCCTGAGGAGTAATGCTCTGTAAATAGGCCCGGTTCATCAGTAGCTCTGTGGGTTCCAAGTGACCCTTTTCTCGGGCTTCCCTCTCAGCCGCTTCCCTCTCCTCTGCCTCCCTCTTACAGTAGGAATACCTGTGATTCATGTGTTGCGAGTAAGACCCAGAGTGTGAGAAGCGTTTGCCACATTTGTCACACTGGTAGGGCTTTTCGCCCGAATGCAGTCGTGAATGCTCGATAAGGTGATGCTTGTGTTTAAATGCTTTCTTGCAAATCTGACACTGATGTGGTCTTTTTCCTAGGAGAAAACACAAGATTACAAAGTGATTATTGAATGAAAGTGTTCTTGTGCTCTTTTTTTTTTAAAGAAATGTAAGAAATACAGTATCCCAATTCAGTCATTTAATATCACATCATGCTTTAAAGAAAGCAAAATTACAAAAACCCCAAAACTTTCATTTTATAACTTGGACTTTTGGATGTTTTTTGATTGTAGTAATTTTGCTCAAACAGCTAAGGATAGTAAAGAAAATGACTCACAGAACATCAATGGAAAACTGGCAGCTTTAGAGAGCAGCTGACATCCATGAAAATGTTTGAAAAATATCCCATTTATAAATAATTCTGCTGACTGTATCACATACATTCTGTATTTATTTTCCCTTCTTCTTCTTTATTATTAAGGATATTAGTATGTAAAGAAGACACCTTTCTTAATGTTGTATTTATGCATGCTGCTTATGCTTAATGGGAAGTCATCGTCATATCTTTGTGACATCACAGTTAGTTGCAATGAAATTGATTGTTATGTTACAGACAAATGATTTTGAATTCAGGAGGGGAGTATGCAACAGGATCTAACAAACTATAGAGAAACAAATACTGCTTCTTATTCTACCCCTAAAATAAAACAAAACATCTGCACAACTTTTGACATTGTACTGTACCTTCCACCTAAGTAAGCTACATGCCTGAATTGAAATGCCTGTGTTGGATTTAAATTCAATATTCCTTCCTCTATATTTGTACAGCACCAAACACTCAGTACATAATATAAATTGAGAATATTAATAGCAACAATAACAGAAAGGTTTGTGACATATGACTTAGTGCTCTTGAAGTCAAGGAGAATTTTGCCATGGACAAAGGGAGCAGGATCCATAATGATCACATACACAGCAACCAACTGTGATAACAAAGATAATTACAAAGCCTCAAGGCCTACTCAGGAAAAACTCCTATTGACTTCAAGGACTGGAGGGTTTGTCCTATATGAACAAATAGGGAAAAAAAAGTCATATAAGCAGAAGTGTAAGTAGAGGTTTTTTTCAAAAGTTTTCCATGAGATGTCAGCTACTCATTGAATGCTAAAGTTCTCTTCAGCTGCAGAATACAGTATTTCTTTTGGCATTTCAGGCAGTTTCTAACCAATGTTTGAAACTCAAAACCAATGCCAAGCCTAAACACATCTGGTTGATTCCAGGCCACAAATAGTACTGGAATGCCTTCAACACCTTCCATAGCTGCCATACTTAAGCTTAATTCCAAAATAGAGCTGACAAGAAATACTTATCAGCATGATGCCATGGGACAAAATTCAGAAAAGCATGATGCAATAGGAAGACATACAGACACAACATATGGTGCATACACTGGGTAAAGACCTACCACCAAACAACTTAGATTTCAGAATACTGAAATAAAATCAAACAGTATATTCAGCCTGGTTTTCATTTTCTAAATGTCAAATTATAAGCTTAGTGTTGTTCAACTGTGCAACTGTAAAAATATACAAAACATCAATTAGTAATTATATATATTTAATATTGTTATTCAGTGCCTAAAGGACATGCTAATGTGTGTATACATGTAAATAACTAGAAGCTGTCTTACTAGTTGAATATACCAGTTCCTCAGTATCATTTGTAAAACTGAGGTGATGTAGTATGTGACCAGAATAAACTACACAGCTGGAGCCTGAACAGCCAGTCAGTTGTGACCATGAGCTAACTTAAAGTGAGGCAACTGTTACCTCTTAGAAGAGCATGTGTTGTGTGGAAGAGAGAGAGAAAGAGACAGAGTGATACAGTGCAAAAACTATACAGACCTAATAGTCTGAACATAAAAATATATTTAAACCATAGAATAGCCATGTATTATCCCTTTGAAGAGATGTGGTGATGTATGATGTGTACTGGATGGCAGGCAAGAAAATTGTTGTGAGCCAAGGGTCTGGGTAGATGGGCTACTCTCATTGACAGACCATTGTATGGAAAGGAAATCTAGCAGGAAGCAGAAAAATGTTTTAAGAGGACTGAAGGATCTTAACTTCCAGGAAAACTGAAGCTGCACTTTTATGAATTTGATCTGCTCTCTTTTATTTTGTAGTCAATGACATTATATAAGAAGAGAAAAGGGCAGACATAAAAACTACTTAAACAAGAAGCTTAGAATGAATGACCAGAGCTTGTGCTAATGTTGTATTGCCTAGTTGCAGCTACCCTTCAGTTCTACTGTAGAAGTTTAATAAGTTAATAAGGCGTGGCTGTAATGAATGCTCTAGGAATCCTAAAAGCCTATGTTATGAAATGAGAGGTCCCTATCTGGGGAGATCTGGCAGAAAGGAGGATACAGGAGAAACCACAAAAAGAACAGAATAAGTGACAAGGAAATGGGGGTTAGTTATGGAGTTCAGGCTTAAGTGTAAATTTCTTTTCTTCTGTGTTTTAAACAGTTCATGCACATATTTTGAGAGTTTAATGATCTTTCTTTTATTCCCTTACAGTAGAATTTAAAATTCAACCCCAATATGAATGAAATATTTGAGTATTTGGCCTTTATGGTTTATTCTGCAAGATCAAAAACAAAATCTCAGAAACTGAATGCCTTTATGTTTCACTGGAGTTTTGGATTTGAAACTCCAGCTCCGAATATGCCCCACTGACTTTGGCTTTGGACTGAATCCAAAACCGGAAGAAGGCTATTCTCTGATTCTGGTTTGGTTGTGAACAAAATCTTATTCAAGATGGTGGAAATCTTACAATATTGGCTTAAGAGATTTCAGCACTATCAAATCTGTATGCAAACTGTGATTTGGCATCAAATCCCAACCTAATCCACATCTGAACATCACTTCCTCAGCGCAACTCTAGTTTTGATGTGTCTTTTTAGCTGAGTGCTGATCTCACTTTCTGATCAACATGTTGCAGCCCTTCCTGCAACCCAAATCTCACAGGCTGTTTTACCTCTCCATAAGTGTTCCTGCTCCTGCTTTACTTTGAAATCCCTAATCTACCTGAGCCACACTATACGCTCCTTCCTTTACCAATCCTTACTCCATCTCCCAGCTGTGCCCAACCTGTCTGGCCCACCACCTCCCTCCTAGCCACTTCTCTAGCCATTCCCACTTCCTCTCCAACCAGTCCACCTTTCCCTACTGTCTGGCGGCTACTGTAGCTCCAGTAAGTTTACTACAACTGCCCCTCACACTTTCTTGACTGTTGTAGCTCTTAACACACTGTACCTCCTGTTTCATTCTATCACCTCCCTTTAACAAATACTCCACTCAGTTCAGCCAGCACCAAAATAGAATTTCAGGAAAGAATCCATATTTATTTTAAAAATTAATTTAGAAATTAAAAGGTAAAATGTCTTATTTTGTACATTAATTTATTACCAGAAAGACTATACAGAACTATTTTGTCTACCATTTACATCCATATTAAAGTCCTTCCAAACACACGAAATTTGGATCCAGTAGAATATGACAGGTGGTACAAAGTTCTTTGATGACGTACCGTACAACATATCTTAGCAGTGCATAGAATGCAGCTGTTACACTGTTAATACCAATATTTTTAAATATATCCGATTACTGCACATTTGAATCAGGTGTTTTTTTTTCAAAACTCAACATTTTCAGCCATTTAAAACAAGTAAATATAATTTGGGAATAGTCCCTCTTATGAATTAAAAGGCATACAATAAGATTGAAGGGATTTTTTGTTACACACATGGAGGGGTTGGGGGGGGGGGAAGGGCTGCAAGTACACTCACTCACTCTCTCTCTCTCTCTTTTCTAGATAATGTACTATACCTTACAGTGCTGTAGTATAATGTCATGACTTCAATGGGAGCACAGTTAGGCCCAATGCTAAGCACTTTTACTGGGACTTATTTGAGATGATCTGTGGCTGATGAAGCTACTTGTGAGTTATGCAAATCAATGTAAATGGATGCCAATAAAACATTTATACCACTGTGCACCAATATGTCACATATTTTACAGTAATACTAGTTCATAAATGTTTTAGAGAGATTTAAAACAAATATTTGGACTTTTTTTTGTATCCTGCCATCTGCAAAAACTGGCCCCCTTAGGAACTTGTGTTCAGTTTACAGTGAGATACAATTACAACTAATCTGTTTGAAAAGCATCTAAAAATGGCCTAAAATTGCATTTCTATACACAAAGATCTCTAAAATTCCAGTATCTCTGGACTTTTTTGGGCTAAAAATGAGGGCTGTGAAACTATGGATTTCCCATAGTCATTGGTATAGAGCTCCTATTTCTAGCTCTGCAAAGTTATGAGACTTCAGATCTTAAATCTGTCACTGGTCCTGGACTAAATATTACCCATTTTTTGCCTCCGGCAAATGTAATTTTTTTTCAAGGGGATGTGGGAAGAATAGAAATTTCTCAGTTAAGAAGAAAGAAAGAAACATTTTTGTGGCGCTTTCATTTTCTCTTTTAAAGGCAGCTTCTTGGGGTGGGTATTTTAGAGTTAGTCCTGGTAAGCATGGATTATAGGCCAGAGTACAGTGAGTGGGTCAAAGGTGCAAAATAAATGCAATTTATATATAATTGCCCAAGCCACACTTGTTCTGTTTTTAATAGAAGATGCCTATCTCCAGAAAAAAATTCACAAGCGCTGAATTTACCTATTTTTTACAGTATTTGAGTACAAAATGGGGAATTCTAAATTTATATTTGAGTGAAATGAGAGAAAATAATCTTTCAATGGCATGTTAATTTTGTATGAATCAAGCTCTAAATAAGGAAAACTCCTGACCTGGGAATTCAGAATACTATCCAGAGAGAGCTGATTTGCTACTAGGCTCCAGAACAGAATTTAGTTTACAGAATCAATCTGGAAATAAAACATCAGCATGAAAGCTACAAAAATAAAAAAGAGGTCTTAATAAAATATACAGTGGAAAAGAAAAGGATGAAAGTAAAAGTACAGCCATAAGGCCCTCATTGGCCCATATAAGCAATAAAATAAAATATGATGTAAT